CACCAGCCCAATCTGCATCACAATATCCCACAATCTCTGTGCTCTTGTTGCATCCCATCCAAACACCTTGTCCCGGGGCCTCCCTTAGGTATCTCATAATCCTTTCCACCATATTCCAATGATGAACTTTAGGTGCTTGCATATGCTGGCTGACTTGGTTCACAGCAAAACAGATATCTGGTCTTGTAATGGTAAGGTAAAGCAGCTTCCCAACCATCCTCCTATAGAGTTTGAAGTCTCCAAATGGTTAATCTTCAAACTCTCCCTCACGCAATACTTTGTAACCTTCTTCTAGTGGTGTTTTAGCTACTCTTGCTCCAAGTTTTCCTGCCTCATTTAAAAGATCAAGTGTGTACTTTCTTTGAGATAAGAAAAGCCCCTCTTTAGAGCAGCATATTTCTATCCTAGAAAGTACTTTAGCTCACCCACATCTTTAATATCAAAGGTAGACTTAAGAAAAGCTTTAGTAGAGATGATACCTTCCTTGTCACTTCTTGTGATGATAATATCATCCACATAGATCAGTATCACAATAATTCCTTGCTTGCTTGTGAGGGTGAAAAGGGTATGATCAGCTTCTGATTTTACAAACCCTCTTCCATTGAGAGTTGTGCTCAGTTTGTGATACCAGGCTCTTCGTGACTGTTTCAATCCATAGATTGCTTTCTTCAATCTTAGTACATTCCCTGGCTTGACCATATCTTCCATACCCGGAGGTGGCTTCATGTAAACCTCATCTTCAAGCTCTCCTTGAAGAAAAGCATTCTTGACATCCATCTGCCATAAATCTCATTCCAAGTTCACAGCTAGAGAGAGTAGAATCATTATAGTATGCAGCTTAGCCACTGGTGCAAAGGTATCTAGGTAGTCTTCTCCGTAAACCTGAGTGTACCCTCTTGCAACCAGTCTTGTCTTCTTCTTTTCTGGTTTTCCATTAGCAAGATATTTGATGGTGAAGAGAAGCATGCTGGTCACAGCTTTCTTTTCTTTAGGTAGTTCGGTTTCATACCAAGTACCATTTCGGATCATGGCACCAACCTCATCTCCTACAGACTCTCTCCACTCTTCATGTTCCATGGCTTCTTCATAAGTCTTTGGGACGTACTCTTGATCCAGATTGCTGATGAAGGCTACATGCTCTTGAGGAAAACTCGCAAACGAACATGTTGCTTGGACAGGATGAGCCACCGCATTGTTGTTGAAGTACACTTTGGTATCAACCCACTGAGATGGTTTGTTCACTCTTGTACTCCTTCTCAATGGTTGAATTTGTTGCCCTTCTAAGTCTACCTCTTCCTGCCCTTGGACTTCATTAACCTGGTCTTCAAATGACTGGTCAATTTCAGGTTCATCTTGATCATGCGTGCTTGTTGAATCATCTATTTCTTGTGGCTCTAATTCAGATTCATTGCCCCCTTCAAGATCAAGATGACCAGTTTCAACAACTGGTGTTGCTTCTTCATTGTTTTCAGCAGATGCCGGTGAGGAAGAATCCCCTGGCACTTCTCTACTTTGAGGCTGACTGATGCCAAGATTCTCCAAAATAGTTCTCAAGGCGTTTGCCCTATTTGAGGGTCCTTGTGAGAGATCTTGGAGACTTTCCCAACTCTTATCCTTATAGTACCCTTCAGATTCCACAAACTTAACATCCCTTGAGACCATAACTCTTCTTGCATCAGGAATGTAGCACTTATAACCTTTCTGCGTGTGGGAGTATCCAATAAATATGCCCTTGACACTCTTGGCTTCTAGCTTGTTTCTCATTTCTCCTGGTGTCAAGACATAACAAACACACCCAAACACACGTAGATGATCAATTGGAGGTTTGATTTTGTTTAATACCTGAAAGGGAGAGACATCTTGGAGAACTTTGGTGGGGATTCTATTTATCAGATAGCAAGCTGATACCACCGCATCTCCTCAAAATCTCTTAGGAACATTGGTGTGAAACATCATGCTCCTTGCAACCTCCATAAGATGGCGATTCTTCCTTTCAGCTACTCCATTCTATTGGGGTGTGTAAGGACAGCTTGTTTGATGGATAATCCCATGTTTTGTTAAGTGATGTTTGAAAGCATTGCTTGTATATTATCCCCCATTATCAGACCTGAAAATTTTGATCTTGGAATTGAAATGGTTAGATATATAGTTCTGGAAGTTAATAAAAGCTTCTAAAACCCTATCTTTAGTTTGAATCAGGGTGAGCCAAGTATATTTTGATTTTTCATCTATGAATGTAACAAAATACTTATGATTCTCCCTAGACACGCAAGGAGCAGTCCAAACATCAGAGTGCACAAGATCAAAACAATTCTCGTAAATAGTCATATATTTAGGAAAACAGACCTCTGATGTTTACTAAGAATACAAGCCTCACAACTTTCATTCTTAAAAGATAGATTAGGTAACATCAAACCTAAGGCACAAGAATGAGGATGACCTAATCTAGCATGCCATAACACATCACTAGCTAAAACAGAAGTAGAATTAAAAGCACAAGATAAATCTGAAACTTTGGTGTCTTCAAGCAAATACAGCTCTCCCTTGCTCTCACCTTTTCCCAGCATCTTACTGGTCTTAATATCCTGAAAGCAAACATCATTAGGACTGAAAATAACATTACAATTTAGGTCATTAGTTGCTCTCTTAACCGATAATAAGTTTGAAGTAAAAGTGGGCATGTAAAGAGCTTGAGAATCTTTATTAAACAGTTTCAGATTTCCTATTCCTTCTATGGGTATTTTATCACCGTTTGCAATTTCTACGCTGCCTAGAGCTGGGGTTACATTATTAATCAGTCTAGCATCCCTAATCATATGATGAGAAGCTCCTGAATCAATGATCAAAGGTCTAGCAGTGTGAGATCCATTGTGAACAGAGTTTAAAGTATTAATACTAATGTTACCGGAGTTCGCATTAAGAGCCTTTATAAGGGCCTCAATATCAGACTTGCGGATGAATGCATCATCAGAAGATGGCTGAGACATAGAGTGAGAGGTGGAGCCACCAGTGTACTCATGAGCTCTTGCTTCATGTGCTTTGGCTTGGTTGAACTTGGCTGGTTTGAGGTGCGGGTGGAGGATCCAGCAGTTGGTTTTGGAGTGTCCCAACTTCTTGCAATGCTCACACGCCACATGCTTGTCGCCTGCTCCCCTTGGTTTGAAATGAGCTTTATTAGCTGCTGCACTTTCCACCTTCTCGGCCTTGTTTGCCTTAGAC